ACCCAAACAAGGATTCAGTCTTTCTCAACCCCCTGGTCCTGTCCATATAGAAAACTCAAAGCCCTACGCACGTCTAGATGATGCCAGACCGTCACCATCTCATGGTCAGGGTTTGAAGAAAAGGAGGGAAGTACCATATCTTCTTATCTATGGAACCAGGAGTTAACTTTGGGGATGAACGCTGGAGCTGGTCTGAGGATGACCCTGTCATTGTAGAAGGTTCATAAATCTGTGTGTACCGACAAAGCTCTCAGCCCCAAAAACCTATGCGCTGAAGTGATCCCCACTAAGAACTTGTTTTCAGAGTAATATCTTTCATGGGACATGATGCCATTGGTTCAAACAGCTCCTTGCATAGTGCTCGTAGCACTGCATTTAAATTCCATGCGGAGAACCTGTGTACCTGTGGTGGATTGAGGAGGGAGGCCCCCCTCAAAAACCGCCATATGTGTGGGTGATGGGGAAAAACCTACCTTTCCTAGCCTCTCCAACCGTGGAAAGGGCCATTACCTGTCGCCCTAGAGAACTAGTACTCAACCCTTTACTCCGACCCTGTTGGAGAAAAGCCATTCCCATCTGCGCCCACATCGGGTCCACCCCTGCTCTCCACACCAGTTAGAAGATGTTTGTCAAGATCTGTCATATATCTTGGTCATAGAGGATTTTCTGGATGCGGATGCCAAGAGCGTGGAAACCACCTCTGTCTCATATCCTAGAGCTGCTAACTGTCTCCTCTCAACCTCCATGCTGTGAGTTGTAGCATGTCCAGTTGCAGATGAACGGTCATCTCCTAAGATAGAAGGTCCCGTCTGAGAGGCAGCCGATATAGATCCTGTCTGGAGAGGCACATGAGGTCCTGGAACCACGCCCTCCGTGGGCAAAAAGGTGCCATCAGAATCACATCTGCTCTTTAATCTATCGCCTGCTGTACCACTCTATGAATTAGAGTAAGGAGCGACAAGGCATAAAGTTCTTGGCCATGCTAGGAACAGGGTGTCCATTCCTAGTGCCCCTTTTATGTGAGTTTTGGACGTAAACCTTTTAAAAAAAATTTTACTTCATGGTCTGTCTCTACGTGAAAGGATCCACCTCTGCCTTCCAAATCTTTCGCTGATCTGTTGGAAGGCGTCCCTCTGTACTTTTACTGAAGAAAAGAAAAGATTCTATCCTCAACGGGAAAATGATGAATGGATGCAAGATCTAATGTTCCTTGCTGATATAATGAATCATCTACATATTCTCAATTTGGCACTCCAGGGAAAGGATAAAATTTTCAACTTTCAGAATAAATTAAGAGTTTTTCAAAGAGACATATTGTCAAGAAATTTCATTTACTTTTCCAATCTCAGAAGGAGAGTCAATACATTCCCTAATATAGAAATAAAAGACCACAAACTGGATAGATGAAATAAAGGCTTTGACCAGGTGTCTTGACCATGTGTCCCATGGGGTTCACTTAGAAGTATCCCTTCTATGAATAGAGTCGGAACTAGCCACTACTGTAACTCTGTCCACACAGACTGTGGTAACTCTACCTTCTTGACTATCTTGTAGTATATTTCCTTCTGGTAGTGAATAAAGAAAGTGCTGCAGGGGTCTCATATGAACTCTAGGCCACGGTAGTAGATCTTGGCACGACACCATCATGCCCAGAAGACATGCTAGGGTCATCACCTCCAGTGTCTAAATGTTCAGGGCCTGATGAAAGATAAGTGAGAAATTTTACTAACCACTCCTGGAACAGAAGAACCCTGTCCTGTCTTGTGTCTATCCACACTCCCAAGTGTGTAATTACTTGAGTTGGCTCCAGGGTCCTCTTCTCCCTGTTAATAGCACAACCATGTTCCTGTAGTAAAGTAAAGGTAAAGGTTCCCTTGCTCAAAAGCCAGTCGAATCCGACTCTAGGGTTGCGGTGCTAATCTCAGTTTCAAAGCCGAAGAGCCAGCGCTGTCCGAAGACGTTTCCGTGGTCATGTGGCCAGCATGACTAAACACTAAATACTTAGATTATAAAGTCCAAGTGCAGGCTCGCCTGGTGACTGGACTCTGCCTGGATCAAAACGTCTTCCAAGTAAGGAAAACAGGACCACTCCTCTCAGGAAGGCCACTAGTGTCCCCAGGACCTTGGAGAATATCTGAGGCAAGGACTTGAGTCCAGAGGGCGAGGCTTAATATTGGAAATGTTTGCTGTGATATGTGAACCTTAGAAATTTCCTGTGATTATTCCTTGTCAGGATGTGCAGATAGTCTTCTGCCAGGTCTATGGAGACCATGAGGTCCCCTGCATGTATGGAGGAGAAAGATGGACCTCAACATTTCCATCTTGAACTTTTGTGATTGCACATGTTTGTTGAGCCACTTCAAGTCCGAGATGGCCCTAGTGTGCCCATTCTTCTTGGGGATCGTAAAGGGATGGAATAAATTCCTAGCGACCTCTCTGTCTCGGGCACCATCTCTATCACTCCAATGTCCAACAGATGTTAGATTGCCTGTAACATCATCTTGTGTTTTTCCTGGTGATCTTTCCCTTGAGATCTCCAAGAAACGTTGCTTGGAACTCTTTTGAACTCTAGTGCGTAGCCATGGGCCAGCGTCTCCAGGAACCACTTGTCCGACACAGCCTGGTGCCACTACCCAGCGAAAGCTATCCTCTTGCGCCTATATCTTCCATTTGTTGTTTATCATCACGACTGAGGTCTCAAAAGGACTGTGGTCTCCTTCTAGAATTCGTATCCTTCTTCTTTGACAGTAGCACCCATGACTTGCCTTTGTCTTTCACCAAGTAACGTTCCAGGCCTGCTCTGAAAAGGTTAACTCCCTTGAGAGATACCACTGCCACCTTGGTTCTTGTTGCTGGATCTGCATTCCAGTGCCCCAGCCATGCATTTCTCTTGGCCGTTGCACGACATGCCATAGCCCTCGCTGTGAGTTGTATGGCATCCAAAGAGGCTTCTGCCACAAATGCTGTGGCTAGAACTATCTGTTTTAGCTCATCCTTAAGGCTCTTTGGTATGTCACTGTCTACAGAAGTTAGCTCTGAGGCCCACAGGTAGGCCACTTGAGCAAACAGGGATCCCATAGCTGATACTCTAAGGGAGATGGCAGGCGCCTCAAAAAAACTCTATGCAGTGCCTTTG